GTGAACCCTAGACCTTCGTTATGTTATAAAAGCTGAAAGTTTGTCAGCGCATGCTCCCAACACAGGTAAGAACGATGGACCATTATTAAGTTTGGGTTACCGTGGCTTCAATAGTTTCGGAGATTAGCCCGTACAAACAGACAGAGAGAGAGAAACAAAAAAAACTGAAAAAAATCTGGATTTGTTCTATTTTTCTTCTTACAGGATGTAAGAAGATAACTGACTCGATTTTTAGCATTTTTTTCTATATACAGACATTCGACTTCTACAATTTTATTATATTTATAGATAGAAAGAATAATGTATAATAAAACAGTAATATATAATAATAAAAATAGTTATAGCGAGTGTACCTTAGGAGATAGACATATACTATTGAGAATTTTTCTATCGACCTTTTTAAGACTTACAATTTTCTTGTACAATGTTTTGATCTATCTCTTAAGATTGAGTCAGCGTTAGCCATATAAATTTCTAAGGACAATTCAATAGAACCAGTTATTGTGTTTTCCCGTGAGAAAGAAAGATTTTCTTGAAGAAAAAGGTATCCGAAGCTTTGACTCGAGTAATAAGTTATCACTTCATCAAATTTCCTTGAAATTCATTCCTCGGTTCATTACTTTCCACGTGAAACGCGCATACAAAAACAAACAAACAGACATACAGGCAAACAGACAAACAGTTTTTTTATAACTATTGTTTTGGGGTCTATATTGTGTACATAATACGTTACAAATAAACAAACACATCTATCCCACGGGAATTGTACATTTTTCTGGGATAAAAAGTAACCTATTTGTTATTCTGATGTATGACCTATATTACTGTAAATTTTTATTAAAATCCAATCAGTAGTTTTTGTGTACTAAGTTGTATAATTTACTATAGGTTTTTGACTGTCCCACGGGAACCCTTTAATTTTGCGGGATGAAAAGTAGCCGATTTGTCATTGTCATGTGTGAACTATATTATTATGAAGTTTTATTAAAATCCAATCAGTAGTTTTTGTGTACTAAGATGTGTAAGTCATTATAGTTTTTAACTATCCCACGGGAACTTTAATTTTCCGGGATAAAAAGTATCTAAGATGTTGCCCGGGGATATAAGGTACCACCATGCAAAATTTCATTTAAATTGGTCCAATACATTCGGAGATTAGCCCGTACAAACAGACAAACAGACAAACGGACAGAGAAACAAAATATTTGAAAAAAATATGGATTTGTTCTATTTGTCTTCTTACACCCCCCTGACTCGGTTTTTAGCATTTTTTGCTATGTACTGACATTCGACCTCTACTGCTTTATTATAGTATAGACTAGAGACTTACCCTCGCTTCGCTCGGGTGCGCCCCTGGGTACGTTTAGCTTTTATTTGAACGGAACACTAATTATTTTTCTAAAATAAAATTAGCCTAAGCTTCTTCTTATAAAATCACCTATCTGCCAATGAAAGTCCCGTCAAAATCAGTCCAGCCGTTGCGAAGATTAGCCGAAACAAGCAGACAGATAGACAGACACAAAAAAAAAATATGTGTCTATAAGTACCGTAAATAATTTCATATGCCTTTAGGAAAAATATATCTATACCTACATATATTGTAAACGTGCTCGCATGTAGAGTGTTATATGACGATTTTACTTTCAGATTTAGACGAAAAATTACTTCTGCGATGATTAATTTCGACTTTAGCTTAGTTTCATAATTTTAAATTATTATTTTTTCTATATTACTTTAATCTAGTCAGTAATGAAATCAAAGCATCAATCAATTTATACAAGGATAATTTATTAAGGAAAAACTCAGCGTTATACTTTAATTGCTTGCTATACTTACCTATTAAAATAAACAGTAGTTCAACCTTTACAAAGATGTTGTGAAACGCAGAAGTAAAGTGATGTTAAGGATAAGCTGAGCCTTTTTATGTAAATATCTATCATTAAGTTGATTAATATGATTTTTCTGTTCTTTATAATATACGTCATTATTATTGTCTGTTTAGGTTCTAAAAGATAGAAGTACTCATTTTGGAAGTAATTTAGGCAATATTTTTATGTCAATTGTGATCTATTAAAAATCGGTTTCATGACGTAAAATGTTTAATTAGTGGATTATATCTTATTGGGGGCGACATGTAAATTGCAAGTTAAATCTTTGTACCTATGGATGGAATGAATACTTTTAAATTGAGTTTAGAATCAGTGTTAACTTTAGATTTTTAATTTTAATTTTAAATTTTAATAAGCAAATTAATATAAAAAGTTGACGCGCTTACATACTCTGTGACACTTGGTCTATTGTTATGATTTCACGCCGGCGACGTGAGCGCATAGCTCGTTTCGCGGGAGGGGTGGTAGCGTTAAATACCTACTTCGCTCGGTCTACTTGGCCTTAATTAGTGCATCCTAAGTATCTAGGACTACATTATCGCAGTGTATTTCTATACTGACTCTGATTACTGATAATAGATATCTTTGACCGACTGAAAAAAATAGTTATATACAAGGGTGATCCCATACGTATATTTCCAAAAAAATCATCGACTTTTTGACTTTAAAGACAATTTAGTTTTTTTTTTATAATTTATTTACTTATTTTTTAAAATTCAGTAATATATATTCTCAATTTCGAAAACGGCTCCAATGATTTACATGAAATTTAGTACACAGGGTGTTTCGGGGGCGGTAAATCGATCTAGTTTAGTCTTGTCTGAGAAAACGCGTATTTTCGAGTTTTCATGCAGTTTTCTTTTGCATTATTCTACGCAAAATATGGTCGGTAATTTGCACGCTCGGGTATAAATATCGTGTTCAAGCGGCCAAGGTGCAAGATCAACAATCACAGGCAGCCTTGGGGCTACACTAGGGGCACTCGGAGCTAGTGCCTAGGGCGGCAAATTTTTAGGGGCGGCAAAATTTGGAGTGTGAGCAAAAAAATTTTTAACTCTAAGCTATGAAAATCAATGATTTTGAAAAATTAGGAAGTATTTGGTTCTATACCGATTTTTTATAATCGCGTTCTCACTGGATCTTCACGATTTTAAATCTAGTATACAGTACATTTTTTTTTATAAACATTTAAGTTACTTATTCAAAAATTTAAAATAATATCCTTTTTAAATAAATAGTTGTTATATACTTATTCTTTAGCCTAAGAATACTCCCGTACAGCATGGGCCCCCATGTAAAGATAGCAGATTTAGTTTTACTAATTTCATTTTATACATTAGACCAGAGCCCACCGACCTTTTTAAAAACGCAGATATTTTGATGCGAGAATTTTTGATTGAAAATTAGGGTGCTTTTTAGATATTACGTCAAAATAAGATGAATAAATAAATATTTTAAATCACAAAAATTTTAAATACAGTATGTTTGGGAAATAAAAAGGTAAGTTTTCCCCACATTTCGTGAAAAGATTTTTTTTTGTAAAAGATAAAAATAAAAAACAAAAACTTGGTTATTTGAATTTTTCAAATAAATTTTGAGGTTAAGTGAAAAAAGTGTAAATACAAAAGTTGTAGATCTTTAGATCTTTTTATTACCTACAACTTTTCCATTTAACTTTTTCCATAGGACTTGTAGTTTTGCTGGAAATCGAGATAAACCGTTTTTTACCCTTGAAAACTCACCTCAGATCGCCTGTAAATTATTTATTCTTTCATTTTTGTTATATTCTCTTCCATTTCCAATTGGGTTCATCCTACTATTTTTTTTTTCACTTTTTCAGTCCCTGTCAATATGTCGCCGCGGATATTATTCGCCTGGTTAATCTATAAAGCTATACAGATAAATAAAATTGAAATGTCTGTTTGTTATTTCAAAATAACAGCTTTTTACTAAATGCATATAAAATTAGATCTGTCTGTCTGTTTGTTCTGGCTAATCTCCGGCTATATAACAACAAAAATAATAACGGCTGGACTGATTTTGAAGGGACTTTCACTGGCATAATGCTGATGTTATAAGGAGTAACATAAGCTACTTTTATTTTAGAATAAGAATTAGGGTCCCGTTCAAAAAATGAAAACGTACCTAGAGACCCTACTGTAAGATATAGGTAATGCAGTATATAGGTAATAGGGCAGTATTTTTCACAATGCCCCAGGGCGGCACATAAGGTATCTCCGGCCCTGATCACAGGTGTCCAGGTTCGAATCTCGGTCGCATACAAAGTTTTAATTTTTTTTTTAATATTTATTCAAGTTATTTTTTAAAGGCGCAAATTGGACAATCATAGGTGTCCGGGTTCGAATCCCGGTCGGATACAAAGGTATAATTTTTTTTGTATTTATTCAAGGTTTATTTTTTTTTAAAGAAAATTATACTTTTTAACCGAAAAGTCAGAGCGAAACTCGGTGGCTCAGGTACTTAATAATAATAATTTTTAACTTATTGTACATACCCATAATTATGGTGTCATTAAAAAGGGGCTAAATCAGGACAGGGCAGTCTTACATTTAATAAAATATTTTTTTTATATTATTTCTATTTAGATCGTGAGGAAACCGGCATGTCTGAGAGAATCTAGCAAGTTTTCGAAAGACACTTGTAGTCCGACAACCCGCACTTGGCCAGCGTGGTGGACTATGGCCTGATCCATTGCGTATTTAGCACTAGTAATATGAGTGATGAAATAATTCTAATAAGTTTTTTGAGCTACTCCTTACTTTGCTTTGTCTTTATATTGAGTGATATAAACTTATGTGATTTATAAAGATTTTAGTTTGGTTTAAAGAAAAACATTAATATATATCAAATAAAATTTTATTGCAAAAATTAAATTCGTGCGGGCAGTTTTCCGTTTACGTAAGTTCTCATGTTTGATGATTAACGTATGATAATGTATGGTAACTAAGATTTCTAATACGTAAATTCCAAAAAAAAATATACTACAAACTATACGTGGAGAACTGTTGTATTTTAAGATTCAGCGTGGATTATTTTATTGATATTATCAAATATGATACTGATTTAGTATTTCTATATGATTTCGATTTATTGGAAGATGGAATGTTTGGGGTCCTTCTCGTGGTAGCACTTGGCGTAGTTCCAGGCAGTCTGGTGTGGGGAGTTTCCTTTGTTTGCCAAACAGGAATCGATCAGTTTCTCCACTGCTGGCTTATCCGCTGTTGAAACACCATAGAAATAGTTATTAAATTATTCAAAATATATCTTTATACGTATGGCTTCTTATATAATTCAAATAATTCACATATTATCATTGGTATACAAAAACTAAAACACAATTAGCGTCTCAAAAGTGTCCTCAAAAAGATGCGCACGATTCGGAATTGGTTGCTTTTTTTCAAAATTTCTTTTGTTCATTGCTTTTCGAAAAAAATGTCATTAATACCAAATTTAGGACAGTTTATTAATGATATTAAATTACTAAACACAAACAAAAACAAATCTATCCTACAGAAGTCGCATATTTTTCCGGGATAAAAAGTAGCCGAATTATTATTCTGATGTATGAAATATACTGTTGTAAACTTTCATTAAAATCCTATCAGTAGTTTTTGTGTACTAAGCTGTATAAGTTACTATAGTTTTTTAACTATCCCACGGGAACTCTTTGATTTTCCGGGATGAAAAGTATCTAAGATGTTGACCGGGGATATAAAATACCACCATGCAAAATTTCATTTAAATCTGTTCAACAGTCTCGGAGATTAGCCCGTACAAACAGACAAACAGACAGAGAAACAAAAAAAAAAAAAAAAAGTGGATTTGTTCTTACATCACTCTGACTCGGTTTTAGCATTTTTTCTTTGTATAGAAATTCGACCTCTACAGTTTTATTAAAGTAAAGATTATTTAACTTAGATTTATTTCTACTGCATTTCATACCTGCATTAGGAACTTTGGCGAGAGCAACATCCTTCTTAAATTTCCCATCCTTGGTCATCAACTCTGATTTAGTCAGCATGCAGAGTGTGTATTTCTTCAAGGGCTCATTTTCGGTCTGTAAAAAAGTAAATTATTTAATTCACCCTTTGGAAATTTGAAAAAAAATATATTCTTAGCAAACTTTTTATGATATCATTTAACCGTTGATAAAACAGTGTATGTGTTGATAAGTTAATATTCGATTCGAATTTCGATTTTTAATAGTTATAAAATATATATGACTTTAGCAAATATATAAAATAAACTAGATAGAGATGAATTAAAATAAACATGTTGAACAACTTAACAACTTGTAAACCGAGATTGCGTGAAGAAAAGCTATTATAATATTCATTATAATCCTGTAGATAACAAAATATGTATAAACTAAAATCAATTAAGTCCGATGTTTCCGGTGACTTTTTCGAAAAGTTTGACTGTTTCGCGAACTTTAATTGTTATTTACTATCCTTCTTTAATATTATATTATATTGATTTAAAACGTGTAAATCCTGTAAGTGTATCTAAAGTAATAATATACCTAAACAGAAAAGATTTGATTATAATGTTTTTTTTTTAATATTTTTTTTCTTTATATTAAATAAAACTATCTTTTCGGATTTTTCGCGAATCAATTTTAATTTTTGGTTTCCGACGTTTCAATTCATTTATGCAATCATAGTCACGGGAGAGTCAGTCTCTCAATGTCTCTGTAAAGCATTCGAAACGTCGGGAATCAAAAATAAAAATAAATTCTATTTTATTTCTTTTTTATTCTATTAGATTTATTTGGATCAAAAGCGGTTATTGTAACTTAACCATGATAGTTAGTGAGTAATGAATGAGTACATTATTTTATATATCATCAATAGTTTTCCTAACGCACGTCAAATAATGACTTTTATAGACAAATTTTTGATACCTTGGGTTACATTATTGCAATTTTCGTACGGATTTCCAATTTTTTTGAAAATCATATATAGCCCCTGTAACTTGCTGCTAATATACCTTTCTATAGTCGAAATAATTTTTAAAATCGATTAAGTAGTTTTTAAGTTTATCTATTATAAACAAACATACAAAAACATTTTTTTGGTCTTTATTATATTACTTTAGAATACTGTTTTTGTATATTTTTAGTTTTGGAGTTATGACTAACTACATATTTTATATATTATAGTATTAGTAAAATAATAATACCGTAAAATTTTACTATCGTAACACAGTGTTGCTCACTTTCTTTTTTAAGGAAAGTCGTGATTTCGACTTCTGGGTAAAAAAATTATAAGTAACAGAAAAAATATCATGTTTGTACCTTAAAATCTCCGGTCTTCAACTTGTTGACCAATTGTTCATCCGCCTTAGTTTCAGCGAGGCATTCCGATCTGTGCTTCTTGAGCTTCTCCTTCTGTTCTTCAGAGAGGGCCTGTGGAAGGAGTTGTTTCGTATATTATCAGGTAAAAATCAGTATCTAATATAAAATTCTAATTTTAAAAATGACGAAAGTTCTTTAAAACGTCCTTAATTTGTACCCTCAAGAGACGAAATTTAAGTAATCCTTTATATGAAATGTTTCGGGCTTCTAGATTCTGTGGTTTAAACTAAGCTATGGGTAAGTCAGTTAACGTTAGTATCAAGTAATTTATTCCTATTGCTATATTTCCTCTTTGGTACAAATATATTGTAGAATAAGTTAACTCACATTAACTTCAAGACAAATAATTCGCTCTAAAAACACTTGATTTATTATTATAAAAAAAAGCTAAAAAATATAATAAAATGAATTTCTTGTAAAATTAATATGCGTAAATCAAAAATATTTAATCATTTATTATGGTAATTCATACATGGAATGAACAAAAATGTTTGTTTAATTTATGCACGTTTTTTTATTATTCAATAACAACTTATTTTTACTAATAACATTTAACGCGAAAAAATATCTGTCTGTTTGTATTTTTTATAACAACCAAACTGAAAAGATAAGTTCAAAAGATCAACATGATAAGGCTGTACAAATTTTGATGTAATTTTATATAAGTTTACCAAATTTAATATTTAAGATTTGCTTTAAATAAAATTAGGGACAAATACGTTAACTTTGTTAGCCAGAAAATAATTAATTTTGAAACAAAAAAGCGATAATTATTATATTTGATATATACTATTCTACATTATATATTAAGCTATTCAATATGTACAATGTTACCTGAGCCGCAACGAAGCAGATAGCAAGAACGATAAATGTCTTCATGATGCTAGTTAGTATACTACTGCGATTTTAGTCGGAGAGCAATCCATTTATACTGCTTTGGCTGATACTTGTTAGAGTATAATGAATTATGTCATGGGCTCTCAACATTTTCTTTTATTTATTTTGGTAATTTTTGGAGTTCCGTACGGTGGATGGAATTTATTATATATATTTTATAGTATTTTAGAAAAAATATATAGATACGACATGTTAAATTGTATAGATACAGGTCTTGTTTCTAGAAATAAGAAGAGATTTCTTTTAGTCAATTTAGTGCAAGAAGTCGTTATAAACTATATGGGTGTATCAACTATATGGTATCCACAACACAAGCCTCCTAGCTTACCTTGGAATTAGATGGTTATGTGTTAATGCGCCAATAAATTATTATTATTATTTTAACACATATTATGTATACTTGTAAGTTATAATTTCCATACATTTATGCTACAAACATTCATCAAATATGATTTATTTTTGTGCTTGAAAAATAAAAGTATTTCCTACTAATAAAGTACGTAATATGTAAATGTATTTTAATATTTCTCGACTATAATTATATCTAATAGCAAAGTAAAAGATATAAAATTTTCTATGTTTTTGGAAACCAAAATGTGTTTTATATTTTATACTCATAACATATAGACGAAGACACGAGTCCTTCTAGTAGTAAAAATAACCTCCAAAAAATTAGTTTGTTGAGTAATAAATGAAATTAAAACAAATAAATACGATGGAATTAAAATAAATATGTTGTAAATCAATCAAACACTCAATAGTTATTTAAAAAAACCATGAATAGCTTTACCTGAGGAAATATTTTTATGGCTTTAGCTAATAAAAAGTAGAGTAGAGACTCTACTCTGTTTTTATTTGGCGTCCTTTACAGTTTCGTGTGGATGTTTGTGTCTTTTTTACATCTTAACTAAATTAAGTGTTTAGAATGGAGATCATATTTTAGATTTACACAATGTCTATTTTTGTTGACGAGATAAACAATAAGAAAAACTAGAAGAAATTGTATTTGAAGGTCGTAGTTAAAACCGGTTAAATTTTTTTTAATACTATATATGAAGAAATATATATACTAAGAATGTATTCAGCCCTTTCTAACGTCCCACTGTTGAGCACGAGCCCCCCTTCAATACGAGAGGGATCGGCCATAGTCCACCACACTGGCCAAGTGCGAGTTGGCGGACTTCACATGTCTTTTGAAAACTTGCTAGGTTCTCTCAGACGTCTAGATTTCCTCACGATATTTTCCTTCACCGTTAAGACAAGTGGTAATCTTGTTGGAAATGATTTGCACATGAAAATATCAGAGGGGAGAGTCCCGGGATTTGAACCCGCTTCACTCGGTTTCCCAAGCGAGCGCGTTACCACTGCCTTTACTAAGAATACTAACATACAAAATATAATAATTATTTATTATTTACACATAATAATAATTGTATATTATGATAATAATAATTATTATTAAAATACAAATATAATCAATTATAATTTCTTCTCCCAATCTTATCTTATCCTTGAAATCCCAAAAGCAGGTAATTAAAATGTATTGTATATCATACTAGCGGAAAACAAAAACAAACCTATCCCACGGGAACCCTACATTTTTCCGGGATAAAAGTAAGTACTTTAAAAAAACTTGAAATCTTCCCCTATTTTACCTTAATTGGTCATTAACGCCGAAATATTCTTTATTTCTTACCAAAATTATAGAATCAAATGATTTTTTTAAACTTAGAAAATGATTCGTTCTCAATACAAACTTTCAACTCCTATTTCACTCGTTTCGAGTTTCATTTTAGCGACAAAAAGTATCCGATATCTTTCTCCAAGGTCCTATCCCTATCTATACAAAACTTCGTTAAAATTGGTTTAGCGGTTTAGGCGTGAAAACGTAACAGACGGACAGAAAAATAGACAGACAGTCAGACAGACAGATAGAGAGCATTTATGATATTAGTACGGACGGATTTTGTAAGTAGTTAATTTCAAGCAATGTCTATACATTTTGCATATTTTTAGTATAGAGATAGTTACGATGGATGGACAGTCTGTTCTAGAAATCTTATATGTATTTTTATTTAACGAATGCGATAAACTTCATTGTTAGGAAAATATGTGATATATATCATTCAAGCTATAAATACGTAGGGACATTAATACACATCACAATCTAGTTCCATAGTAAGCTACGAGGCCTGTGTATGGATACCAGATAGTTGATACACTACACATGTATAACTATAAATACATATATATCTGTGCCCTAAATTACAACAAAATTCGTCCAGCCGACGAACATACACACATACATACAAACTTTCGTACTATATGCAACATATTAAAACAATAAAAAACTTGTTTAAAAATTAATTTTACTCATTATAGTATACATTTTAAGGCATAGCGTAGTCTGATTACATTTTAAGATCACGACAACACGTTAGGCTCAGTTTGTAGTGACCCTATTTCCTGTGCCAGCGTTCGCGGGTTCAAATCCCGCTTGGAGCATTCATTTGTGTGATGAGCACGAATGTTTGTACTCCATTCATGAGTGATTATTTTATAATATATATGTATTTAAAGTTATATATGTCTAGTGTATGAACTACCTGGTATCCATAACACAAGCCTCGTAGCTTACCATGGAACTAGATGGTGCTGTGTGTTAATGTCCTAACATATTTATTTATTTAGCTTTGTGATCTTTCTTTAGTTCGATTAATCATGTTTAGGCTTTTTAATCAGGAATAAATAAAGATTAGTTAAACTTTTAAAACAAATATGTAAATCCCAAAGGCGTTGTAACGTAAAGAAATGAAGAAAATTTTCGCATTTATATTATTATTAATATAAAAATTTAAAAATTGTTAATAAAAATTAAATAATTTTTATGTTGACTCTATCGTAGTTGCTTGTCATTGCATGTTTTATATATACTATTAAATATTTAACTTTGAACCCAATTTAGTTACTTATTTGGAGGCTTATTTAATACTTATTTACTTCATAAATCACTTCACGTTATGATATGATGTATGAAGTAAATAAGTTTTATTATATGTATAGATTATGATCTATACATATAATAAAATTGTAACTAAGTCGAATCTGTACATTAAATATTTTTTGGGAAATCTAATTGAAATAGACATTATTATCGATACAGAGTCCGAATCTATAGTTTTTAGAATTTTTGTCTATCTGTCTGTCTATTACCGCATCACAAGAAAACCACTGGACAGATTATGATGATAGCTGGTTATCCGGGTCAACATATAGGATACTTTTTACTGCGGGAAAATATCTCATTTCTGAGCAAAATACAAAAACTGCACTGTAAGAGTATACTAATATGTATAAACTAAGAATTTGGTTTTTGGTCACCTGAACGCGGGCGGAGCCGCGGGCAGTGCTAGTCTATACATAATATAATAAAATTGTAACTTAGCCGAATCTGTACATTAAATATTTTTTGGAAAATCGTATTGAAATAGACTTTATTATTGATACAGAAGTCGAATCTATAGTTTTTAGATTTTTTGTCTGTCTATCTGTCTGTCTGTCTGTCTGTCTGTCTGTTACCACATCACAGAAAAGCCACGGGATAAATTTTGATGGAATTTGGTATGGTGATAGCTGGTTATCCGGGTCAACATATAGGATACTTTTTACCTCAGGAAAATGTCTCATTTCCGAAAAGAATACAAAAACTGCACTGTAAGAGTATACTAATATGTAAAACCTAAGAATTTGGTTTTGGTCATCTGAACGCGGGCGGAGCCGCCTGCAATGCTAGTTTATTCATAAATCTAATTTGTTGACGTTTTGTTACATTCTATTACATAATATACATGCATAATGTCAATGTCAATAGTAAATCATGTCAAAAATATATTCTTTATAAAGTGTAAATGGAACGTGCTATGATGTCATAATATGACGCCTCTGTGGAAGAGAAAATGCAGAGAAACGGCGGAAGAAATTATTAATAAGTCTTCCCGGCCCATTTCGGCCGCGGCAGCCAATCTCGCTCAGGTTAGCCAACTGTGCAAAGGATACTATAGAGCACTTAGAGATACTATGGAATATACTCATACTCGGGTGGGCTGTCGACCTGACCGATGAGAGATCAAGCACAGGATCGACGGCTTTTCGTGCTGTCCGATGCATGGTTGCGAAACACCGCCAACTTCCAAACTCTAATTAAAGGATGACAACTAACTACACCAAACTACCAAACTAGGATGTTACTGAGAATTTGTTTACAAAAAATACTTAATAACTAAGTTAGACTTGACCCGGGACTCGAATCCAGGACCTCCAGATCGGTAGCTGGACATGCTAACTGCAATGTATGCTTTATTTAGTTTTTATTTATTTTTACTTTATGTAGATACCATTTGTTGAACCTAACTTTGCATTGTGTTTCTTTATAACTTGTGAAAACTGTTTTGGCTAATGTGTTTGATATTATTAATTCTATTAATATGTAATATAAAAGCTGTATGTTTTCCTGAATAAACTAATCCATACTAATATTATAAATGTGAAAGTGTGTTTGTTTGTTTGTCCTTCTTTCACGTCGAAACGGAGTGACAGTTGGAAAGCTGGAGAGTGACATAGGCTACTTTTTACAGAGAATTTCCACGGGAATACACGTTATAATACAATAAAAAATATTTATGATCAGAGTAATGAAACTTGGTATTATTACTCTTCAATAAAATTAAATAAATACGTATTTTAGAATTTTTCCAAATTCATCCTATAAGATTGTAAAATAGGGGATGAAAGTTTGTATGAAACTACCTTTTTAGAGATTTTTTTGTAGTTTTAGCGCGAGCGAAGCCACGGGCTCTGCTAGTAAAGAAATAAACAAGACCTGGTAAATCATTAAATAGAAAAAATCAAAACGATCATTAACTATTCATTAGTGACTAGCTTTCTAGATAATAAAGTAGATTGTACTAAAAACAACGAAAAAA